GGTTAAGATTATGTTAGTAATTAAAGTATATAGAAGAAGAAAAAAATGGTCCCTTTTCCCTTTCTTTAGTCAGTAGTTCAGTRTTTCAGTTATCAGTAACTGTAAGTTTGACTTTGAGGGAATCAAGTAAATGTTTCTCACAATCACTCTCTCAAAAAACCTCCAAATCTTGAGGAATCCATAGACTTCAAGATCTAGCTCTCTTAGATCTGACTTCATGGATTCCTCTCTTCTTCTTCATCTTCTAATCACTCTCTTACTCACAATTTCTTCTTCATGTTATGCTTCTACTTATGTGGAAGAACAAAAGAGAGACAGAATCATTGAGTTACCTGGACAACCAAGTAATGTCGATTTCAGACAGTACTCAGGTTACATCACCGTGAACCAAGAACGTGGAAGAGCTTTGTTCTACTGGTTAGTCGAGTCTCCATCGACCCGTGACCCAAAGTCTAGACCTTTGGTTCTTTGGCTCAATGGTGGTCCAGGTTGTTCCTCTGTTGCTTATGGTGCTGCTGAAGAAATTGGTCCTTTTCGTGTTGGCTCTGATGGGAAAACTCTTTATTCAAAACTTTATGCTTGGAATAAATGTAATCATAATCTTTCTAAATCCAAACCATTAATTGCTCTCTTTCTCTTTTACACAATTCAGATTCAGATTTGTTTCTCTTTTTTTTTTCTTCTCTTTCTAGTGGCGAATCTGTTGTTCTTAGAGTCTCCAGCTGGAGTTGGTTTCTCGTACACGAATACAACTTCGGATCTTTACACAACCGGTGATCAGAGAACTGGTACAACTCTTTGAATCTCCAATGATTTCTCTGAATTTGCTACATTGAGCTTAACTAATGACTTGTCTTGATCAATCTGAAGCTGAAGATGCATATAGATTTCTTGTTAACTGGTTTGAGAGGTTTCCACAATACAAACATAGAGATTTTTACATTGTTGGTGAAAGCTATGCAGGTTTTGTCACAATTTCTCCTTCAAGCTCTCTTCATGTTTCAGAAATGGCTGGTGATGCTTAATCTCGAGTCTCCCTCTTTTGACAGGTCATTTTGTTCCTCAGTTGACTAAACTTGTCCATGAAAGAAACAAAGGATTCAAGAACCCGGCAATAAACCTCAAAGGTTTTATGGTAAAGATTTGAAAAAATCCTCAAGACTTTTTACAAGATTGTTTGTAGTAGAGTTTGGGATTGTTAAATGACTGGCTTATTCAGGTGGGAAATGCTGTTACAGATGACTATCATGATTATATAGGAACATTCGAATATTGGTGGAATCATGGTCTAATATCTGATTCGACATATCACCAACTTAAGACCGCGTGCTACTCGGTATCATCTCAGCATCCTTCAATGCAGTGTATGGTAGCTTTGAGAAATGCCGAGTTAGAGCAAGGAAATATCGATCCATACAGCATTTTCACCAAACCGTGCAACAATTCCTTACAACTAAAGAGCTTCTTAAAGGGTCGCTACGTAAGTTTCAAAAACATCAGAAAGCATTTGAGATTGGGTTTGTTCATATGGGCTAATGCTACTACACTTTGTGTTGGATTCTCAGCCATGGATGTCAAGAGCATATGATCCTTGTACAGAGAGGTATTCAAATGTGTACTTTAACCGCGTAGAAGTTCAGAAAGCTCTACACGCAAATGTCACTCGCTTACCTTACCCTTGGAAATCATGCAGGTCTAGGAAAAGTTCTAGTTCTGAATTATATCAAAAAGGTATATACACTTTGATTGAAATTTTGAGTTTTATTGTTTTTTGGTTTCTTGCAGTGACATTGTAGGAAGCTATTGGACAGATTCCCCTGTTTCTGTGCTACCAATATACAGAGAATTGATTACTGCAGGTCTCAAAATATGGGTCTTCAGGTAGCAATTTGTATCGAACTTTTTCTATGAAACGTTTAGCAATTGCAAATGAAGGTTGCTTGATCAATCTCTCCCTACATAATATGCAGTGGAGATACAGATGCAGTGGTTCCTGTAACTGCAACACGATACTCTATAGATGCATTGAAGCTAGAAACCATCACGAATTGGTACCCGTGGTACGATCATGGCAAGGTGAGAAAAAAAGGAGCTTCCTCAAAGTTAATGTCTAATGTAGAAGCAGAAATTGATTTGAGGGGGTAATTAATGAATTGTAATCTGTGTAGGTTGGTGGATGGAGTCAAGTGTACAAAGGGCTTACATTAGTGACAGTAGCAGGAGCTGGTCATGAAGTGCCTATACACCGTCCCCGTCAAGCCTTTATTCTTTTCAGATCTTTTTTAGAGAATAAACCGATGCCGATGACCTGAAAACAAATCTTGAATGAATCTCTTCCTCAAATTCCTATTCTTTCTTCTTCATCAATCATCCATAAACCCCAATGTTTCTTGATTCGTTATCTTCCTCAATTCATGGTGCATTTCATATTCAGCACACAATCTGTTAGCACCAAGTAATTTACTATTTCTTCACACTCTTTATATGTTGCTTTCATGAATGTAAAGAGAAATCAGTATGTTCAACACAAAATGCGCTTCAAAGAAATTAATCATAGTTACATACACCAACC